TTGTGTGTAGCTCTTTAATTCGCTTTGATTGATTGATTTGGGGGTTTTGTAACACAGAATTGGCGATATCTATATGAAATTATGAAATCTTTCTCTAACCAACTTCAAGTTACTCAAATTGGCTTTCAAAATTCTTTGATTGACAAGTTGAAAAATTGGCTGGTTAAACCAAATTGATGTGAATAAAATTATTAAATAATTTCGGGAGCAGTTTTAATGGATCTTAATTTGATATAATTTACTGAAATCGAAAGTGTGCCAGAATTGAGAGAAAGAAAATGAAATATCATATTTTTTGCATATACTATATGGTTTTACATATAAAAGAAGATTTAAGATTTAAGAATCTAAAGATTTTGTAGAGAAATTTGGGATAAAGGTAAACATTCAACTTTATTTCATAGTGAATCAAATGTACATAAATTATTATCAAATGTTACTTTTTTCCTATTCTAACTGAAGTGCTAATATTATATGATTGTATTATATTCTAAGAGTTCTGCTCACATTAGCATATTCATAATAATTTTTCATATTGCTAAGCCGCGATTAAAAGTCTATTTCACTAATGAAACAACAGCCATCCCAAGAGACTTCAACTGACACTGAATAAACTACTAATAAAATGACATGAGAGACAGCAACAACAACATCAACTTAACTCCAGGTGTGCCTGACAAATCGATGTAAAGCTCATGTTAACCGGTAATGGGGTCTCAATAGACACACATGCAATTGGCTATGCTCTTTAGAGCGTGTAGCATATACAAAACGAAAAGTTAACAAATTTGCCGTCTAAAGCGTGATCGAGTTGGCATTGAAAAGTGCCTGGACCAACCTAACATGACGATGATAATGCTATAGAGCGGCTTATGAAATTGTATATGTACATACACACACACACACACACACATGCATATACATATTGAGAGACGTCTAATGGAAGGCATCCAGAACATTTCAATTGATAATGAAAACACACAATTAAAAGTTCAACTGATCTAACCCCGCGCCACAAAATGGAAACGCCTTCAAAACTAATAGAAAGAAAAGACGCGCTTTAGTTCCATTTGATGGAGGACTTTAGTTTCGGAAATTGTAGAACAAAGACACGTCTAATACGGGTCTCTAAACTTTTGAGTGCTATCGTAATTGTATATGTTGTTGTTGTTGTAGTTGTTGCTGTCGTTGTAATTGTTGTTGTTGCTGTTGTGTTTATTGTACGCTATTTACACGAAAAATGACATAAGCCGTAGAAGTATTTCTTGAGCAAGTCGAGTACAGCAAACAACTTTGAAGTAAATTTGTAAGAAACAACACGAATAAGTGCCAAAGTCGAGAATGTATGACTAGGAAATACCCTGCAATCAGCTAAGTTAAGTGACTCTGTTATATTTATGAATAGGGCATTAATAAATTAAATCTAAAATAAATACTCTCTGTGATCTGTGCTTGTATGTTTATTATTTAGCATGTCTAACGTCAGGTTCTACTGAAAAAAGTAAATTAGAATGAGATATGATAAAATCAGCCTTGCCTTGTTCCACCTATTGTCACCAAAACAATATACCATTTCTGGACAAATTCAATGCCTACAGGGTATAAAAACCATTTCGTATATTAGCAATTGTAAATTGCCGTAACGAAAGAGAATATTTAAACAAATTATACTCGAAATGTTGCTTGTCAAAATTTATGCTAAGTATTAAAGTAAATGCCATTAGTCATTAGTTGTAAGTTAATATTAAGAAAGCTGAAATCGAATAAAGTATTGACTAGTTTCCATTGTAGTATTTTGATAAATTGCTAATATGTATTTAATTTGAAAGGAAGCTGAGAAGAGTTATTTTTTCCAAAGTATTTCAATAGATAACAAAGTTTACTACATCTGGCCGTGGCTTATGATTCGTAATCTCAGATATAGGTCTATGCCTAAATACCTAAATGCCTATGCTTAAATTAAGTAGACAAACGATGCACAATAAAAGTTGGCTAATCATAAACCTTGGCTATATGTAGGACTATCGGCTTTTTATGGCAAAAGCAGTAGCTAACAATTTAGCATTGGGAAAGGCACTGACGATGTGGACATCGGTGCTTCAAAGCTTGTCAGTCAGTGTAGATCTTTAAAGTGTTTACGATGCTTAAATTACATTTTCTGAGTGCGAGTGTGTGCGTGCGCGTGCGCGTGTATCGGTGTATGCCGTGCAAAGTGGTAATATGTATGCTACGCTCTAAAGTTGTTTAGATTGAAACGTCTTTTAATTGCATGTTAATTGCCCGAACCACAATCGAGACGAACAACTGGCGAATGTGGACGCGTTCCGAGACGCAGTTAAGATCTGCAGAAGATACAAAGTGCCAGACAGCGACTTCGTCTTGTGCTGTTGGCCAAACTTGGAGCCCGGAGCTGCTGGAGCAACCAGTGGACATTGCTTGTGGACTTTTGAGAATGGTCGCGTTTTGCTTTTTGCTTTTCTTTCTCTTTGCGGTCTGAAAAACTGGACAGAGGTAAACTGGAGAAGTGCATGAAGTTTGTTCTATAAGAAACAGTTGCACTCATTTGTTGTCCCAGTCGCCATCATTGTTCTTGCTCTTGTTGTTTATCTCTCTCCTCTCACCTGGCCGTTCTCGTGTTGTTCGAGTGCCCACTGCATAAAGTACGTGTGGCTATGGCTCTCGTTCCAGACACTGCCCCTGGCTCCACTGTCTCTCGACAAAGACAAGTTTTTCAAGTTTTCCGACAGGGGCACATGAAGTCATTCAAGTGGCAGCCAGCAACAGCAGCCCAAAGCCAAGCCGAACCGAACTGAACAAGGGCCAAGACACAGAGGTTGACCGCAAGAAGGCACAATTTTGCTTCTGTTGCTTTTGTTGTCTGTTGCCTGTTGTTGTCCAGTTGTTTAGTGCTGTCATTTGCACTTGACGTTGAAGTGAACTAGCAACAATTGCATTCAGCCGACAAACTGTTGCTCTAAAGCTTATTTATCCATACCTAAAGTCTATAATTCCATCAGTTGAAGCTTACGAGGAATCAATTACCTCAGATAAGATTATTGTTACTAAGAAATTGACTAGATAGCAAAATTTTAATGAGCTGATTTAATGGTTGGCGATGAAAAACTGAGAAAGTAAAGACAAAGGGATTAGAGAAGGATGATAGGGATAGGGAAAACCACCCCATTATATTATATCATAAGATATATTAGAGAATGTGTCTTATATAAGTTTAGAATTCTGAAATTTTTATATATTATATATGAACACATTTAAGTTTTGCATTATCTGTGTAAACTCACAAGAATTCTAGCCTCTGCATTCATATCTCAATTTAACATAAGATGCACACTTAACAGAGTTTCAACATAAGCATTACATAATGATAGTGTCAATTCTTTCCAATTGGAAAACATTCAAAGAAGTATCCCGTAAAAGTATATCTTAAGTAGATGCCAAATAGATGTCATAACTGAATAGTTAACGATAAACTTTCAAGTCGCTTCTAATGCCGTCTAACCACCTCTATAAGTTGGACAGAGCTACAAGTGGTATAACCTATTAAACGCACTTACAGATATGACTAACTAGTTTACCCTTATCGCGCGTTTTATTGGCTTTATTTCTGGGCAGGGCCTTCATAGCGTACCACGCCGCAGACAATGTTGAATCACTGACCCAATTCAAGGGCCCAATTGTTACGCTTCAGTATTTCACTTTACTTTTGTTTCTCAGCACTTTAGATTTGGCACAACCCGAATATATTCAATTCAAATTCGATCCACAAACTTCACAATCTTGCTCAGATCTAGCTTTATGTGAGGCAGTTAGGGACAGTTTACAAAATACTGTTTGCATTGAAATATGTATTACAAACTTTTGGGTTTACAATGGGTTCATTGTAAGACTTTTAGTGCCCATTCGCAGTTAAGTGTTAATTAAATTTATTTGAACCTCAGCTGAAGAGATACAGATACGATTCATTGGATTTGAATGTGAGCCAAATGAAGCGTGCCCAAACAGATTTGTTTTGTGCCCTTTTCTGGGTTCGGTAGCTCTTAACACCACACACACAACTGGTAATACGGCGATCGGGAAATGAGTTGACAATTTGTGATTTTGTGGGCATTCCGAAACTCAGATCAACTAGTGACCAGTTTATGTCTATTATGCATCATGAAGTACGCCCGTAAATTGCGCACATTCAACAATATTTTTTCTCTCTCTCTTTATTCACTCTTTTATCAGCAATGCCCGTCACCAGATTCACATTGAGCTGTTGCAGCAGCTTGCAAAATGGCCAAGACATAAGTTTTGGACATAATTAAGCCATCGCGAATGGCATTCGGGGAAAATGTTTGCCATTTGCGTTGACAGTTGTCAGCAAGCGCTAACTTGGCTAATTAATCAAAATAATGACAACATATCTGGCCTAAGTGACTTGACAACATTGACATTTCTCGTACACAAAGTATCACAATTAGTAGCTTAGTATTATTGGTATTAGAAAAATGCAAATATCCGAATACAGACTGAAATCAATTACAGTTTGAGATGATAAGAAATTGTTATTAGAATACAGAACTATAACAAGTGGGCGTTACACTGAGAGGACAAGTTGTGAACTGAAAACGCATGTTAGCAAAATAAGATTGAAATTAATTTAATAATTAATTAATTAGTATCTATAATTTTCAATAATTTTAGTGTATAGTGTATATTACATACAATATACATATATTACAAAAACATAAAAAATATGTAAAATTTTTAAATAATTCCTACCTAAGAAAATATAGCTTTCATCAGATATAGAAATATTTAGTATATCACCTGATATTATCTTCTTATCTCTTTCTATATGTAACTCTTCTCTTTCCTTCTCTCTCTCTTTTCCCGATACATAAATTTATTGTATTTATATATGGCTATTCAATATTTCCATAACTACGAATCGAGCTCCATAGCAACATTTACCAAACCCTCTAATAAACACCCGACCAAAGTCTGCCAGGAAAACTTTCAGTAGTCTCTCCAGTTCAGCGCCATGCAGTACAGTTGGCTGCCGCAGGAAAGACGCCAGGTGAAGATACGCGAGAAGCCGCCCTTGGTTATATCGCTGCAGCGCTTTGAGCGGATCCAAGCTAATGCCAACAAAGCGGCTGAGCAGCAGCAGCAGGAAAAACAGAAGCAACGTCAATTGGATGACGAGAAGTTACGCCTGGGCGGCGAGGAGCTACTTCGACGCTTTGCTGGACGCAATGTATGCCCCACGGAGCAGGAGCAATGCCAAAGGGACCAACTGGAGCAGCAGCAGCAGCAGCAGTTGGCCAAAGAACGGGCGCAGGAGGAGAGCATTGCGGTACAGCGAGAGGAGCAGCTCAAGCAAAAGCAACGCATCGAGAAGGCGCAACAGCTGCTGGAGCAACTGCGTCCGGGTCCACGGGAGCTGCACTGCGCCAAGCTGCAAAGCGAGGTGCTGCGCGGCATCATTACCCAGAGGCAGCTGCAGACACAGTTTGCGGCAGCTACCGAGCAGCAGAGAGATCTGGACAAACGCATCTACAGCGAACAGGTGCTCAATGGGCTGGAGGAGGCGCAGCTGCGGCAGAAACAGCGCAGCCAGCAGCTGAGCAAGCACAAGCGGGAGCTACTCAAGTCCATCGAGCAGCGTCAGCAGGAACGCAATGCGACGAGAGCTGAGCAACTGGAGATCGAACGCAAAGAGCGAGAGCGCAATGAGCTGCAAGTGAAGCAGCACCTAGAGAAGGAGCGCACCGAGCAGACGGCTAAGGTGCAGCAGACCCGACAGTATGCCTTGGCTTCGCTGGAGGCAGCCGAGCACCAACGGCAGCAGCAGCAGCTGATAGACAAGGTGGAGCTGACGCTCTGCGAGGTGCACAACGAGGCCAAGACCAAGCTGGACAACCTGAAGAATGATCTGGCCAAGCAGCGCGTGCAGCGGCGACTGCAGCTCAACGACCAGCTGGCACAGCAGCTAGCACCACGGCTCCACTACAGCGCTAGCGAGGATCAGCGACGCCACGAGAGGCAGCTGGCGGAAATGCGACGAGCGCACAGTGTGGAGCAGCAGGCACGTCGCCAGCGGCGGGAGCAGTCCAAAGCCCAGCGCCAGGCCATGCAGCGAGAAGAGCAGCTGCAGGCCGAGGCAGCCAAGCAGCGGGCGAAGGCGGAACACAACGACGACGTGGCTAGGCGACTGGAAAACGAACGCATTCACGTGCAGTTCAAGCTGCAGGAGCGCCAGGAGCAGCTGCGTCGCCAGCACGAGTTGCGCGCTGAGCTAGACAAGCAGGAGCAGCAGCGGCGCGAGGCAGAGGCACGGCCAACCACTAACTACAATCGCTTGGCGCAGCTGGAGTGCCTGCGTGAAGATGCTCGCTTCATGGACTATGCCCACCGACTGATGATCGAGGCGCAGAGCAGAGGCTGTCCCCTGCAGCCCTTCATGCGCGTCCTGGAGCAGTACAAGAGCGCGAATCGCATTGGCGCCGAGGTGCGTGTGCCGAGGCATCTGGTTACGAAGTTGACCCTGGGACGACGCACTAAAGGAGACAGCCCAGCAGAGCAGCAGGCGAGCAAGGAACAGAGCACGAGTGAGGAAGAAGAGTACAGTAGAAGAATAGAGGAGACCCTGAAGAAAATTCAAGCTCTCGTTTTGGAAGACTCCAAACGGAAAGATGAGCAAAAAAACAAGGAAACGGAAGAATTGCAAAGTAATTCGAAAGAAGAAGGAAAGTATGATAAATAGATATATAGAAATTGAATATAATATAATAATAAATTATTAAATAAAGGAAAATAAATACAAATAAAATAATGCTAATAATACAAAATAGATTATACTTTCAGTTTTAGTAGAAATATACTTCTCAAATATCTCCACATAGCAATAGTAAACGGTAGAGTATTTAATATTCGACACCCTTGGCGTGCGCATCCCTACATATTTGTAGGAAACCTTTGCCATTAAAATTCTGTTTGCAAATTGAAACCGAAATAAAATATCAGCTAAATTAGCGAATACTTTTGGATTGAATTCCCCATTGTAACGACCTCAGCGGGCAGTTGTTCGAGTTCAAAGTGAACCTCGTATCAATTTCCCATTCGCAGGTTCCATTTGCATTACTCATGGCCTGCAATGCACTTGCGGTAATCGGAATCGAATACCAACACTCCCTCTCTCTCTCTCCCTCTCTTTCTCGTTCTCTCTCCAAATTACGTTAGGTGACTCGCGTATATTTATGGGGCATGTTTTCGTGGATGCCACAAAAGTGTTTTTTTCGCTGCCTCTTTATTTTCAGGTGGTGAAAGGCACTTTGGGCAGTTGCATGTGAGATTGTCATCAAATATTTGCAGCAGCAAGTGGATAAATTACTGTAATTTACATTTGCCAGTTGCAACAACTCGATAATTTATGTGGAACAATCAGATGAAGCTTAGTAAGTGCTCCAAATAAAAAATATTACTTGAATAAACGTGCAACTACTAAGAAATTTTATATGGAAGCTTGAATATGGTATTAACATCGGAATGATAGCTTAGAGCCGATAATTGTTGATTTTTTTAATGTACCTAAGAGCATTAGTTCTTCGTAGAATACAAAAAATATATATACCAAAAAATGAAATAGAGGGAAAAGTGTTAAAGTTAAAACTATTTGAGTCGATATCAAAGTAAAAAATAAATGAGCTAGCTTTATTTTAATATCCAAATATTGATAAATAGCACAACGTACACAAGTCAGTAGGCCCTTCGAAACTAGATTCAGCTTATTAGTATAACTAGCTGGAAATCAATTAAAGTTTTCTTTAGACATTCTAACATTACTCATTCGTAAATTCAAGTTAAGAGTTTAATCAAACAAACTAATGAAGCCAAAGAACTTCTCGCTCGTTCCGCATTCTACCTACGCTACGTTCCACCCTAAAAAAAAAAGCCCACTAAAATGTCACAAAATTGAATTATCTCTGATCGAGTTACGTTCTATATTTGTGTCGTCTTTCATTTACGTGTTTGTGAAGTCATGTCAACTGGATTTTGGTGGTTTGTTTTTCTGCTGTTTGTTGTCTAAGCAAATGTCTGACAATGAATGGGAGTGTGTGTGTGTGTGCGTGTGTGTGTTAGTGTAAGTATGCTTGAGGCTTAAAGGTTTTATCTTTTTTTCATGTTCGCTGTGAACTTGTTGATTTTAGATACAAAACTCGCTGTCGTTGTCGTTGTCGTATTTGCGCAACCAAAAACAACGAGAATTGTCGAAACAACCACAAATACGAAGGTTAATGTATCTTCACATCGTTCAAGCTATATCTATTGCAAATAAAACAAATACACTGCAATATATGTATATTTCAATGCTTCAAAGAAGTTTCAAACTGAGCTTCGCTTTTCAGTTGAAGTTTCTCATTTGATTTTTTTCCCCTTATTTATTTTTGCAAGTCTGCCAGACTTTGTAGCTTTGCCGACGCTTATATATGTACATATATGTATATATATGTTTTTATATACATATATACCGAGCTCTGACCGAGTTCTAAGAAGAGACAACAGTTTTTATTTTATTTTTGTCTGGCCAAAAATTGAGCTGTGCAAACATAAATTTGATTCTGAATTATGAATTTTGTATGAAACAACAGCAAAAAAAAGGCCAGGTTCTTAAGTTTGAGCTCCTTTTGTTGTTCGCTGATGCGCAAAAATTTGCCAATTAATCAAAGGATCTGCGAAGTGAAACTGGCTTCTGAGAGCGCATTCTAAATGCTATCCTAATTAGGTTAAATGAGCTGGCAAACTAATATGACAAAGGAAATTATTAAATTTATATTTGAGCAAAAAACAAAAGAGAACAGGTAAACTGCAAGCCTTTATCTTATCTATCTATGTCTGTAATACCAGTTTTTAATAGCTATCTGTGATCATAAAATACGAAGAGCTCAGGTTAAGCACCTTTTGCCTTATCTAAATTTCTATTTATATATAGTTCGCTTAGCTTCAACAACTGACTAACGCTGAAGTCACTCAGTTGAGTCATTTATCTCATCAATTCAAGGAATGTGTTAATAAAAATGCTGCTAACTAATTGGCAGCAAATATATATGTTTTGAAAAGTTTTTTATCCGAGCTTAAAGTAGATATCTCTTCAGACTTACGTTCATTTTATTTTCGACTTTCATGACAGACAAAATGATGTAAAAGGCGTGTGAAACTTACCTGAAAGATAAAAAAGTGAAATTCATTAGTAAATGAGCCAATGTTAAAATATATATATATTTATATTTTATATTTTATAAAAAAGATTAAGTTTATGAAAATAATTGTTGAATAAATATTATTAAAATAATTTATCGCCATTAAAAAATATTTAAATATATTTTAAGTATTAAATAATAATGATGAAAATTAAACTATATAAAAAATGTTTTTAGAATTATTTCTTGTTATAAATTATTATGTTAATATTATTATTATTATAAAAGTCTCATTGCAGTCTGATTAGCTTTAGTGATTCGAACTCGTTGAACTCTAGCTATCACTTAGAGCTCATCATCTATCAACAACGACAAGCAATAAATTTATAAATAAATGAACTCATTTTTTTATAAATTAAATTAAATGAAATAATATTGACTATTTATAAGTTTAATAAAGTTTTGTATTCCAATTCTATATATTCAATTTTGTCTGTTTCATATGCCTTAACTATTTTTGTTTACATTTCGAGCGCTGGCTTCCTCTTTGGGGTTAAGAGTTTCAACCCATTAAACGCTATGAAAAAGTGTTTCCCATTATGCCTTTAGTACTTGTCTTTCACATCTACGTCTACGCACATTAATTTCCACGACAATTCTGTAGATGTTTGTGCATGGTCCACAGACCTCAAACATTTATATAGCTCATTAAAAAAACAAAAACAAAAATTCCATACCATTTAAGTAGTTCAGCGTCGTAAAAAGGCGACACATGTGGCATTAAAAAACAACAGCCACAGCTCCGCTGAGAGGCAAAATATTTTGTACTTTTCTCTTTTTGTTTTGATGTATCTAGAGTTGATTTCAACTAATTGCTTTGACATCTTTTTCGTTTTGGATCTTGTGAAGCTGCAGCACAATCGTCTAACACATTCGAGAGATTGCCTCGAGATCAAAAACAATTTGCAAGCTGAAGACTGCCGACTGCAATTGCGTTCAGCTTCCTCTTGATCCCCCCGTTCTCGGGGCATCTTTGCATTCCATTTGCAATTGAAGATCAGGCGCCAACTGCTCTCCAAGTGGATGTCTTTGAATTGGCGCCAGACGCCAGTTTGTGTAAACAATTTAAACGTTCTCCATAGACACGCCCCAACCACATCGCAAGTAAATATTAAAGCAAATGGGGCTGAGCCCGCGGACAGGAACTAACCTTATCCTGTCTTGATGTTATTTTGTCAGACAGTTTTATGGCTCACAAGTAAATAATAAGACAAATAATGTAGGAAATTAATGAAAGGGTTTCTAATAATATTTTTGCCATAAACATGTCACAAATCACATAGCACGATTATAAAAGACACGTTTTAGTGCGCAAGTACAGTAATCGCTCGAAATGTGAACAAATATATTTTTATGTGATTGAAATTTATATTCCATACGTGGAAAAGGTTTAAGCATACATGTTTTAATTAATTTTAATTATATTAATTTTTTAATATATATTTCAATTTATATTCAATATTATATTAGATATAAAAAGATTTCAGTTACTTCTGTCCAATTATTTAATTTTACAAAATGAATATTTCACTTTACAAAATGAATATTAATTTTTTAACATATTTCAATTTATATTTAATATTATATTAAATGTATTTAAATATTTCAGTTACTTCTGTTCAATTATTTAAATTTACAAAATTAATATTTCACTGAATCATTTTGGTTTTCTACCATAAGAAAGCCCTTCGTTCCGCTTAATGATGGTTCACTGTCTGCCCGACCAAGTGGAGCAGGTTCAATAGTTCAGTGTCATTCTGATAATTCATTGTGAGCTAGTGGCCTTCGATAGAACAATAAACAGCCCAACAAAAAACTAACCAGCGGAGCCGTGACTTACACAACGTGCGTATGCTGAGCAGCTTGTGCTTTGTGTAATGTTAATAACAAATTAACAATAATAATAATAATAATAATAATAATATTGTAATATATTAAGCATGAAAAATGATTTCTGTTGCGACGAAAACAAAGGCTTGGCTTAAGACGGGCTGGAATCGGTCTTGAGGCAGCCCATCGATAACTTACTACAGGCGGCTCTTCCGTTTTGTAATTAATCAATTTCAACTCCCAAATGCATACAATAAATAAATCGCGCGCATTGTGTGAAAAGTAAGCAAAAACAGCAACAGAAACCGCAGCAACAACAATCGACAACAATAACAACAGCCAGCAACAACAACATAACAGCACAACACATTTTGTTTTTATAATAAAAATGTTAAGATTTACGAGACAAAGGCGCAACATTGACGTGAGTGCAACATGTTGCAGGCCAGGAGCATGAAACCAAAGCTGCCAAAACATGACAAACACCCAGCAGCCAAAGACAGATATGTATATGTATATGTGTGTGTGTATATTATAGTGTGTGTACATTTACTTCTGGAATAAACTGTAAACTTTTGTTTTTAATATCTGTAAACAATATGATGGCAAGAGAGACTATAACTAAAACTGAAATGCAGCTGCCAGAAGCCGCAGGAAGAGATTATTATATTTACAA